AAGAATTTCTACGGAAAATTAACAAACGAACACAGGTGTAACAAATCGGTGTCAGAGAGTAGGAAAAGAAAAAAATGGAAACAAGAAGTGGCAAATCAAACTACACCTTAGCAGATTTTATAGCAGCAATACAAGAACAGCAAAAGAAACAAGAAGAACAAAAAAGAAACAAGAAGAACGAGAAAAAAACTAGAAGAGAAATTACAGCAGTTGTTGGAGGAATAAAAAAAGAAGCAAGAAGAACGAGAAAATAAACAAAGAAGAGAGATTACAGCAATTGTTGGAGGAAAAAGAAAAGAAACAAGAAGAACGAGAAAAGAAACAAGAAGAGAGATTACAGCAGTTGTTGGAGGAAAAAGAAAAGAAACAAGAAGAACTAGAAAAGAAACAAAAAGAGAGATTACAGCAGTTGTTGGAGGAAAAAGAAAAGAAACAAGAAGAACTAGAAAAGAAACAAGAAGAGAGATTACAGCAGTGGCAACTGGAACAAGAAAGGAAACAGGAAGAAAGTCTCCACCAGTTACAGGAAAGTCAACAACAGTGGCAAGATGTACAAATGGAAAAGATTAGTAAATATCAAAGTGAATTAAGTCACCAAAGGTTCTGGTATGTTTAAGTTTAAATGTAGCTGCTTATTCCAAATCACTTACACATCTCAATATATCTGTATCTCTAACTTCCAAGTATTTCTCAGCGTCCTAAAATAACGCAGTAAGGATATATTAGCCACGGACCAAATCAGCCCCAGACAACAGGAAGCCCCTTCCAGACCCTGCAGCTAAATCCTAATGCAGACATCTTCAGTCCTGCCAGAAGTCACATTTCAGACATGAGTGTTAACAATAGGAGTGATCTAGTACGAAGCAAGCCACAGAAATTCGATGGGAAGGCACCATGGGAAGCGAATAGAGCACAATTTGAGCTACTGGCAGAGATGAATGTATGGACAGAGGAGCAGAAAGCCGTATATCTGGCAATGAGCTTGAAGGGACAACCACAGGAAATACTTGGACAGTTGTCAGCAGATGACAGGCACAACTATAGAGCACTGGTAGCTGCTCTACAACTCAGGTATAGAACTCAAAATCAGTCCGAAGTCTACAGGGCTAGGATTAGGACGAGAGTCCGTGCTAAAGGGGAGAGCCTGCAAGAGCTGGCACAGGACTTGGAAAGTATGGCACACAAGGCCTACCCAAATGCGCCACCCAATCTCCTCAAGTTGTTGCTGAGGGATCAGTTTGTAGATGCCTTGGACAGTCCACAACTGAAGATACAAGTGAAGCAAGCACACCCCTCTACTATGCAGGATGCAATGGCCAGAGCTCTTAAATTTGAATCCTACGTTAAGTCCAGCACAGAGGTACCAAGGTTGGTACAGTCATCGGGATTCAAGGCCAGAAAAGGTCAGCTTTCAGAGAGGTTTGAGGGACTTTGCTGGCAATGTAATAAACCTGGGCACAAGAGAGCTCAATGCTGGCAACTTCAACACAGGGGAGGTGCCACAGCAGGAAAGTCTGCTACCCAGAAAGGTTTTTAGTACTGTGGAGAGCAAGGACATATGAGGAGCCAGTGTAAGAAGAATATTACCAATAAGTCAGCCTC